AGTCTTCCAATATCTGAAGGTCTACCACTAGGCCCAATTTATTTACCAAAGCACCAGAGGGGAGGGGGCAAGAAACAATGGGTGGAAAGTAACCAAGGAGAGAAGCATAGCAGAACTAAGGAGAAAATTCCTAACAGTGAGAATAGCTAACCAGTGGAACAAATTGCATTTGGAAGCTGTAGCTGTCTCATTACTGGAGGCCTTTAAGAAGGAATTGAATAGCCATTTATCAGCAATCATGTGAGACTAGATGATCTCCAAGGACCCGTCTGACTCTGTTACTCTATGTGTTCCCTCCTTATATCCTTCCTTATGCTATCCATATATTTCATACCATCATTGTTTTTTTTTTAATGACTCCTTAATCCCCTGCAGGGTAGAGTCTGGGCAATTGAATGGAGCTGAATGTTTACTGGCCGGATGCCTTTCGTGTTGCCAATGCGGAGTTACATTCAGCAGATATAACCTCACCGTGCCCAGAGACAAGAGAAATATTTGCCCCTACCTAGGATCGAACTCAAAGTCTTCTGATTGTGAGGCGAGCGCTCTACCTCTAGACTACCGCATCACTCCTCCATGTATTTCATGCCATATGCTGAATAAATTTACCTGTAGCAGAGGATTCTTCATCATCATCTTCGTCTTCATCAGTCGGAGAGGTCTGATATACCCTGGTGTCCACAAATGGGGCGAAAGAAGCTTTTGTACTGCTCCCCATGCCGTACTATAAAGGGAAGAACACAGAAATGATTCATAAGGTTGTTATCATCGCCCTAATCTCACCCATGGCACCCTTGTGTTACAATGACTTCCATGCCCAGCTGTGCAGATCCAGGTTTGCTTGTTGGTATTTTCATTTAAGGACTACTTTAATGGTATAGATAATTCACTTCTGCAGCATCTAGTGGTGCTTACATGCCTAAATGACCCTTTGTGGCTCATATAAGCAGAGACAGCTATCATTCCTCCCCCCCCACACACACCAATGCTTCATTATCAAATAAGCATCACTGTGACTGTCTCTTTGGAGAGGCAAAATAATTAACCCTCCTTTCCAGCAGAACCATCCGATATATTCAGTTGTATTTCACCGGGCAATGAAAAAGCCGAGGTGGCTACACTCATGTGTGTGAACTGTTGTATGTGGAACCTGGAAGAGCTTCATTCAAAACCCAAGGCAGGTACAATTTTGCAAAACCAGATGAGGAGCCGGTCAAGCATTGTGAGTTTCTGTGTGTCTGTGTATCTTTGAGTTGGTGTTGATGCCTGGCAATCGCCTGGACAAGACCTTGAAGTTTTGTTGTCAAGGTTTTATCAGAAGTGGCTGGCCATCGCCTTCTTCGTAGGATTGAGAAAGGGGGACTGGTCAAAGGTCAAACCCCGTTGACTTCATGTCTATGGCAGGGCTGGAACTCACAGTCTTCTGGTTTCTAGCCTAGTGCCTTAATTACTACACCAAGCTGGCATTATGTTAAGCTAGCATAGTTTATATAACCCATATACCTCCAGCTAGCATTGACGATTCAGTTGATCCCTACTTTTTTATGGAAAAGCAGTAATCAACACCAGAGGGTTTGAAAGTTATGAAACATACCTTCAAATTGCACCTACAGGTAACATGGTGATAAAAGTGCAATGTTTAGAGTAATTACCATATTTTTCAGAGTATAAGACGCTCCAAAGTATAAGACGCACCTAGCTTTTGGGGAGGAAAACAAGNTTGGACTCTGATTTAATTCTGCATGATATTTGGAATGCTGACATTGTGTACATGTCTTACCCTAGATGGGGATCTTCAGTGACTGGGAGCCAGACTAATTTGTTAGCAGGCTAAGCAAGAGGCTGGTTTAGAAACCATATTCATGAAACCTGGGTAACCAAAGAAACTCAGCTGCTTCAGGAAGAGAATGTCTGAATTCTTCTTACATCTAACTGCATACTCTCATACTGAATTGACTACTTCAAGGTGCCATCCTCTCTTCTGATAGAGATTATTTATAGCTCAGGGTTGAAATGAGGGGTCCATGGTGCTGTCTGAGCTGGGTTCTTTTTTCTTGCAGACATTTCATTACTCAAACTAGATAACATTCTCAGTGCAGTGTGAGTAGTGAAACATCTGCAAGAAAACAACCAAGCTCAGAGAGAACCAACGTTCCCTCATCCTCTTTTCTTTCTAACATTTTCTTCTGAACCTGATGGCTATTATTTCCACATTAAAATCTCTATGGGAGCATATATTTATACAATCATTGCCGTAGAAAGAGGCTAGGATTTTGAACAAACCTCTGTATTGAACTACTTTCTACTCAAAGCCAAGGAATTATAATTATTGCCAATTTTAGGAATTCTACTTTAATGTAAATTACATGAAATATGTGGTCTGCAAATATTCCAACTTCAATACCAGTAAAACCATAACAACAGCCTTGATGGACACAGATGGTCATGGCCTACTTAACGGATTAACATTTGCATGTTCATTTCCACATATCCAGTCAGAACTGCAATAAAAACACTGGACTAAATTCTATTATCTTCTGAACAGAAGTATTTTTTCCTTCTCCCCCCTCTTTTAATCACACAGACTTCATTTCTACTATTTACATGAATAATGAAATGTATACCCCATAAAGCAGCACACAGGATTTCTGAATTGAAGCGTTTCTTGTACTTTCGGATCTCTGGGGTATCACTATGAGGACGAATGTTGGTGGGATTCACATTTACTACAGAAATTTTTCTTGCTTCATTAAGTTTGGCCTGTTCTTGCCTCAGCAGCTCACTGGTAAATAATGCTGAAAAGGGGGGAAAAAACACAGTAGCAGCGTTGTTAAATATGCAACTGAGAGATTTCATCAGATTTTAATTGCACGATTCTGTAATGGAACGAGTCTAGGGTTGCATAGCCTTCAATATGGTACCTGGATGACTTATTGTCCTAATTATCTACATTTTAATAAATTNCCTAGAAGCCAAGAGGAACATACGGGCCAAATTTCAAGTTTGTAGGCTTTACGGTTCTGGAGTTTTTGTGATGAGTGATATTTGCCTTTTATATATTTAGATTTAATTAAGGGCTCGGAGACTTAATTAAACATGTTTGTTTAGTTTCTCCATTTGCTCATTCATTTAAATGTCTGCTATTTTTATTTTAAAAAATTCAGAATAAGTTTTTAAAACCATTCTCCGTGTCTTTGGACCACACTCCCAGAATTCCCATACAATATGTGATAGAGGCTGATTATACCAGTGCAAATCATCCAATGACTGCAAAGAACCATTCAGTCAGAACTGAAGAAGCTTGTTGGATGAGAAGCGAAATGTTTCCAAGGGGGAAAAAAACCAAGAAAGTCTAGTTGCCTTTTGAAAAAGCACCTTTGGGATAACCATGGTCTGGATGTTTGAAAATCTATACAGATATCAGGGAAATAAGTGCAAAATCTACAGAGATATTAATTGCTTTATTGAATAGTGATGTTTTGTAAATTGGGTATGGGCTAGAAGAAGATGATTGCAAGGATTTTCGCCTTCTTTAGAAGGGCTGGGATTTGGGGTGTTTATTTTTTAAAAAACAAACCTTCCCCCCTTCCTATTAATACTTTTTTGAACAGAGAATCTGATAAAATAATGGATTATTTCTTTAATACAAGCTTACTTTGGGTGTGAGAGCTATCAGTAGGATTTAAATACATTTATGCTGTGAAAATAAATTCTTGATGTTTTACTTTTCAAATTTGAAAATTATTTATGTCCACATTGCGTGAAAAATGTGACCACTTATGGAATGAAGATATGTTTTCAGAATGTTTTGCCATATATGGGAGTAATATTTCTTAGTGTGGCGTGGTACACAAATGTTTCATGTATTTCTTTATTAAAAAAAGGGGGGGGGAAAGCTTTGCTGCTATTTTGTAAGCAAAAGAAGCTTTTCAGATGTGTCTGTTTAGCAACCATGCAACGTTGAAACACAGATCACAGAATTTTAGACTCTGAATTGACTTCACACCTGGAAGCAGGGGATGCGCCTATATTTTTTAAAGCATATCTTTCAAATAACAAAGCAGATAAACCAGCCTATTTTAAAGAATGCTTAAGGGATGTAAGATCTTCAGAACATAGAATTCCCCGCCAAGCAGCTTTTTGCTGAGAATTTTAAATGTGAAATCTACACATCTGGAGATTGTGAAGTTCAGAACAAACAAGTGTGCAGTTTTGGGGAGAAGGAGGTGGTCTTTCTGGCTCCTCCAGATGTTAGTTCAGAACATATGTTTCTAAACTAAAATTCAGGTAGAATTAATGAGTTAGAACGCTTGGGGGCTAGAGGCTATCCACTCTGATTCGAGAACAATCACTCCACGCAATTAAAGAGTCCTGAAAATAGACTTACCTTATCATTTCTTTCACATAGAAACTTTAACCGTTGGGCACGCTTGTGCATAAATACTCCATCCAAATGTCCTGTCTCCACGGATCGTATCTCAATAGCTTTCTCACCCCAGCCCATTATTTGATTGGAGTGAATATAGGCTTGTCATAAAACAAACAAACAGACAACCCATAAGCATTCAGTAATATATATTCTGATTAAAAACAGCTGGAAAATAGCTTCCCTAGCAGGTGTTATTATTCACAATGGAAATGTCATAGGGTTGAAGTTCAAGACATCAATCAGCATCCTGGTTCCATCATTAAAATACAGGAAAATAGGTAATTTTAGCTTTGTTGCTGTTCAATTGCTAAGGTAGGTCTGACTCTTCACTACCCCATAGACCCTAGTACCCCAAGCTCACTGTACTCCACTCCCCAAACTCAAGCCTGCTATATTGAAGACCCTATTTAACCATCTCATCCTCTGCCGTGCCTTTCTCCTTTAGCTTTCAATCTTTCCCAACATCAGGGTCTTTTCCCATGAGTCCTTTCTTCTCATTTGGTGGCCAAAGCATTTGAGTTTCAGCTTCAGTATCTGTCCTTCCAAAGGACAGTCAAGGTTGATTTCCTTTAAGATTGACTGATTTGATCTCCTTACAGTCCAAGGAACTTTTAAGAGTCTTCTCCAACACCACAATTAGACAGCAAAATTCTTGCTTACCTTATCTCTCTAAATATATAAAGCTATGTCTATCTTTATCTTTAAGGAGGAGGAGGAGGAGGAGGAGGAGGAGG